TATATGTGTGTGTGTATATGTGTGTGTGTGTATAATTTGCATAGGTATACGTTTCATTCGTTCACCCTGGAATGACATGTGCCCTTGGCCAGAATTGAACCTGGGCCCTTTGGTCCACCGGCCCACGCTTTACCCACTGAGCCAGACGGCCAGGGCCTGTGGTCATCGATGATCTGAGGGAAAAGAGGTTCCTGCCCCGACTAAACAGTCAGGTTTCGCACGTTTTGAACACTCCGGCGGCGTGCGGGCGGAAACCGCTGCCCTGGACCGGACCCCACGCCCTGGGCTGCCCGGGCTCCGGGGCTCCTGGGAGGAGGGTCTGTCCAGGACCCTGAGGCCAGGCCCTGGGTCGGCACCAGCCAGGCTCCCTCTGACGCCGTGTCCACCCCTTCGCTGGGGCGCTGACACCCAGGACTCGTGCCATGCGTTTCTCCCCGGCCTGTCAGATGAACTCCGCTCCCCGGGCCTCTGACCTTGTTTTGTAACTCACTAGGCGCCTTTTTTTTTTTTTCTTTTTAAAACATATTTTTATTGATTTCAGAGAGGAAGGGAGAGGGACAGAGAGTGAGAGAGAGATACATCCATGATGAAAGAGAATCATGGATCGGCTGCCTCCTGCATGTTCCCCACTGGAGATCGAGCCCGCAACCTGGGCATGTGCCCTTGACCAGGAATCCAACCCGGGACCCTTCAGTCCATAGGCTGACGCTCTATCCACTGAGCCACACTGGTTAGGGCTGCAGACATTTTTTAAAGTTTCTTTTCAGGTCTAACTTTTCTCCTATTTGAGTCCTGAATCCTGTTGTTAAATGAACACACACACACAAAATTGTAGCAATCCATTTTATGGTATTGCTAATACTTTTAGTTGGTATTTTCTGTGTGAATACCCTTTACCAATAGTGAGTTTACTTCTGGTAAGCATTTTAGAGTTATTTGTTTAAAGGTGCAATTCAACTTTTTAAAATACTTGCCAAATAGTCTAGTTTTCTACAGAAAAAGAACCCTTGAATCAGTTTTCCAGTTTTAAATGTCTTATAAAAGAACTATAGAGTCTACTTTTCCCAGGTCTCCCTCTATTTTCCCAGGCTCCATCTGCTGCTAGGAAAGACCTGGGTTTTACCCTCAAACGCGTGGCCTGTCAGGGTGAACTGGGTCGCAAAGCCTATTCCTTGTCATTTCGGCGTATTTGTGTGTTTTTTTTCAGTGACCGTTTACATTCGATGTTACTTCATATTAGTTTCAGGTGTACAGTTTAGTGCGTAGACAATCATATACGGAATGACATGTGCCCTTGGCCAGAATTGAACCTGGGCCCTTTGGTCCGCAGGCCCACGCTCTACCCACTGAGCCAGACGGCCAGGGCCTGTGGTCATTGATGATCTGAGGGAAAAGAGGTCCCTGCCCCCGACTAAACAGTCAGGTTTCCCACGTTTTGAACACTCCGGTGGCGTGCGGGCGGAAACTGCTGCCCTGGACCGGACCCCACGCCCTGGGCTGCCCGGGCTCCGGGGCTCCTGGGAGGAGGGTCTGTCCAGGACCCTGAGGCCAGGCCCTGGGTCGGCACCAGCCAGGCTCCCTCTGACGCCGTGTCCACCCCTTCGCTGGGGCGCTGAC